GGATGCCTGCCAAAGGTTTTGGGAACATCTGAAGCCCCAGGTGCAGATGGAGAATATTTGCCAGTAGTAGGGCCACTTATGGTTCTGGACTCTTGGATTTGCAATTAGTTTTGGCTAATTTGGCCTCGGATACAAATTATATTAAAAAAAGAAAAAAGATGATTTCTGGAATGGGACCAGAAATCATTGCTTCTTGGCCTCTTGAAGGCTCAGATCAAGCTTAGTCTTTGCTTACCTAGGGTAAATGCTGTGATCACCACAGTGGCTTCCTAGCTGCACCCAGGGAAGACCGCTCTGTAGGGTGGCCACCATAGAGGACAGTCTGGTTGTCTTCTGACCTCTATTGACCGGACGCCTTTATGTCCTCTATTTTTCTCTTCAAGAGAAAAATAGAGGACATAAAGGCATTGGGTTTCATATCAATAGAGGACAGAGTAGCAGAAAACTGAAATGTCCTCTATAATGGTCACCCTACCACTCTGCTGGCATGGGATAGTACCCATGTAGGCACTGCATAATTAACCTTGGCTTTATGCCCACTTCATGGAAATGGGAGACTCCTCCCTAGCTTGCTCCTGGGGCCTTATGGCTAAGGGCAAATTAAACTTGGGAGCATCCAAACCCCAAACCTCCGGGCTTAGGCTTGCAAGTAGGATGCCCACCAAAAGATTTGGGAACATCTGAAGCCACAGGTTGGGATGGAGGGTCACTTATGGTTCTGGACCAACTCACGGATTTGGAATTGATTTTGCCAATTTGGCTTGGAATATGAAAAATTAAAAAAAAAAAAAAAAGATTTCTGGAATGGGACTAGAAATCATTACTTCTCGGCCTCTTGAAGGCTCAGATCAAGCATAGTCTATGCTTACCTGGCAAGCGAAACACTGTGACCACAGAGGTGGTCTTCCTAGCTGCACCGGGGAGGACTGCTATCCTGGCACGGGAATAGTACTTGCCAAGGTAATGTATAGTAAACCTCCCACTTAGCTGCTGGAGTGAGAAGGTCTTGGCTTTAAGCCCACTTTATGGAAATAGGAAGCTCCTCCCTGGCTTGCCCCTGGGGCCTTACAGCTGAGGGCAAGCAAAACTCAGGGGCATCCAAACCCCAAGCCTTGGGGCCTGCAGATAGGATGCTTGCCAAAGGTTTTGAAAACGTCTGAAGCCCCAGATGGGGGTGGAGGATGTTTGCGGGTAGTAGGGCCACTCATGGTTCTGGACTGACTCTCAGATTTGGAATTTGTTTTGGCTAATTTGGCTTGGACTACAGAAAATTAAAAAGAAAGATTATTTCTGGAATGAGACCTGTTGAGGGGGCATTTAGATAATACGGAAATGCCAAACTGAATGATCCAGGATTTGTCCAGCTTTAATTTTTAGTGTTTCCTGCTGTAATTGTCCCTCAGTGCCGCAGGATGTTACTGCTCTATAGGTGGCTGTTGTGGATTATGGGGAGCACCTCCCTGCTGCATCCCTATATTAAAACCCCCATAGTAAGTACTCTCCTTCCTTCACTGCCAGTGAGGGGCAGGGCTGTGCTAGCTGGCAGTCTGGAGTACCCTGCCTACCTGGCGTGATTTGCTCTCTCCTCTTTTGATGTGTATGAGACAGGCCATCAGGAAAGCATGGCAGCACCCAACCAAAGGTCTGTTTCCCTTTTTCCCCCTGAGACTTGGCCTGCCTCTGCCCTTGGATGCATTCCCCATGGCAGGTGTTTGTCCTTGAGGAATTTTTAGTCTTTTCCAGAGTGTGGGGAAGTGGTTAGTGGCAGGGTCCCAGAGGGAAAGGAGGCTTAGAGCACTGAGAAGAATGAGACTTGGTGGTGAGGCAAGGTGGGCAGGCCTGACAGGTTGATCCATAGGGGAGTAACGCGTGGTTGTCTTCTATGACGAGGTGACTGGCTCTGTGGATGCGGTACAACTTGATTTTTAGCAAGGCTTTTGATATGGTCTCCTACAACATTCTTGCAGGCAAGCTAAGGAAGCGTGGGCTGGATGAATGGACTATAAAGTGGAGAGAGAACTGGCTGGAGCATTGGACTCAGGAGTAGTAATCAATGGTTCGATGTCTAGTTGCCAGCTAGTATCAAGTGGAGTGCCGCAGGAGTCAGTCCTGGGGCCGGTTTTGTTCAATGTGTTAATCAACCATCTGGAAGATGGCACAGAGTGCACCCTCAGCAAGTTTGCAGATGATACCAAGCCAGGGGGGAGTAGTAGATACGCTGGAGGGTAGGGGTAGGATTCAGAGGTGATGCAGATAAATTGCAGGGTTGGGTCAAAAGGAATCTCATGAAGTTCAACAAGGACAAGTGCAAAGTCCTGCAATTAGCACGGACCAGTCTCATGCACCAGTACAGGCTGGGGGCTGACCGGCTGGGCAGCAGCTCAGCAGCAAAGGACCTGGGTGATACAGTGGACAGTAAGCTGAATATGAGACAGCGGTGTGCCCTTGTTGCCAAGAAGGCTAACAGCACACTGGGCTGCATTGGTACATGTGTTGCTGGTAGGTCAAGGGAAGTGATTATTCCCCTCTATTTAGCACTGGTGAGGCCACATCTGGAGTACTGTGTTCAGTTTTGGGCTGCCACTACAGAAACGATGTGGTTGGCAAAACTGGCAGGGCTGGAGGAGCAGGGGCTGTGGGTGTAGGGTGAGGGGCACCAGCAGGGCTTGGGGGGAGAGGGGGAGTGAGAGACACAAGCAGGTCCAGGGGGAGAGTGGGGGGTATGTTCTGACTGTACCCCCCCCTTCTCTGAAGTGTGGATACTCAAAAACATGGTTGGCGAGGAAAACCTGTACTCAATGCCTTTTTCACTTTAGTCTTCACAGGCAAGTTTAGCTCCCAGATTACTGAACCAGGCAGGACAGTTTCGGGAGAAGGCGGGCAGCCCTCAGTGGTGAAAGAACAGGTTAGGGACTATTTAGTAAAGCCAAACATATAGGAGTCCATGGGGCCAGATACAATGTATTTGAGGGTGCTGAAGGAGTTGACTGATGTGATTGCAGAGCCACTGGCCGTTATCTTTGAAAATTCATGACAATCGAGGGAGTTCCTGGACAATTGGAAGAGAGCCAATATAGTGCCCATCTTGAAGACAGGGAAGAAGGAGGATTCAGGGAACTACAGACCAGTCAGCATCACTTCAGTCTCCTACAACATTGTTGCAAGCAAGCTAAGAAGGAAATATGGGTTGGATGAATGGACTGTAAGGTGGATAGAAAGCTGGCTGGATCGTCAGGCTCTGCGGGTAGTGATCAATAGCTCGATGTCTGTTTGGCAGCCGGTATCAAGCGGAGTGCCCCAGGGGTCAGTCCTGGGGCCTGTTTTGTTCATTATCTTTATTAACAATCTGGAAGATGGGATATATTACACCCTCAGAAAGTTCACAGATGACACCGAGCTTGAGGGGGGGCAGGATTAGTAGATATGCTGGGGGGTAGGGCTAGGATTCAGAGTGACCTAGACAAGTTGGAGGTTCAGCAAGGAAAAGTGCAAAGTCCTGCACTTAGGTCGGAAGAATCCTGTACACTGCTACAGGCTTGGAACCAACTGGCTAAGCAGCAGCTCTGCAGAAAAGGACCTGGGGGTTACAGTGGACAATAAGCTGAATGCGAGCCAGCAGTGTGCCCTTGTTGCCAAGAAGGCTAACAGCATACTAGACTCCATTAGAAGGAGCATTGCCACAAGATTGAGAGAAGTGATTATTCCCCTCTATTCTTCACAGGTGAGGCCACATCTGCAGTACTGTGTCCAGTTTTGGGCTCCCTGCTACAGAAAGGATGTGGACACGTTGGAGAGAGTACAGCAGAGAGCAGCAAACATGGTTAGGAGGCTGGGCCATGTGACTTCTGAGGAGAGGCTGAGGGAACTGGGTTTATTTAGTTTGCAGAAGAGAAGACTGAAAGGGGGATTTGATAGCAGCCTTCAGCTACCTGAGGAGTGATTCCAAAGAGGATGGAGCTAGACTGTTGTCAGTGGTGGCAGGTGACAGAACAAGGAGCAGTGGTCTCAAGTTGCAGCAAGAGAAGTTTAGGTTAGAAATTAGGAACAACTTTCTCACTAGGAGGGTGGTGAAGCACTGACACAGGTTCCTAAAGAGGGGACAGAATCTTTATCCATGGAGGTGTTTAAGGCCCAGCTTGACAAAGCCTTGGCTGGTATGGTCTTGTTGGGGATGGTCCTGCTTTGAGCAGGAGGCTGGACTAGATGACCTCCTGAGGTCCCTTCCAACCTTTATTTTTTATGATTCCCTACAGCCAAGCCAGTCAAACAGCTGCAAGGTATAGCACCCTAACCTGTCTTTGTATTCCAGGGGCAGGCAATTATTTTGGCTGGAGGGCCACTTAACATGTTTTGGTTAAAAACATCCCCCTCTGCCCCACTCACTGCATCTACTGGCCCCTTCTTTTGCCATAGTGTACACACTGTGTAAGAGCCCAACTGCAGAGCACCATTGCCCCTTAGTCCATAGATGCTGCTGCCCTGTAACCCTCGAAGTGGTGTTGCTCTTTGTGCGAGAACCTTGGCTTAAAAATCTATGTAAATGAGTATATAAATTTAGGTGCATCCCACAGGCTTTTGGCAAGGTGCCAGCCCAACCCTCAGTACTTCAATGCGTGTGCCGTGGGGCCAAAGAAACAAGTGGTTAAAAGGAAGCTTTGTGCAGTGTCCATTTCCACACTGCTATGGAGCTCTGAGCTTTGCTTGGTTACAGAGTTCCTACATGGGCACAGATGATGATGTTGGAAGGGAGGAGGGTATAAGAGTGATGGGTGCATGTTATTCTGCATGTGCAGGGGGGTTAGAACTGTTCTATGGCCTGCATTGCAGTCTGCTGAATTGTATCCAGTTGAAACAGCAGGAAGGGTTTAGCATTGTTCTTCATTTCCTCTATGGATCTGTTGTGCAGAGTTGCTGTGAGTTATTAAATAGCTACCCCAGAGATGGCTGCATTTCTGTGCTGGGTGAACAGATTCCTTCCCATTAGGAGTTTCCAAATTTGTGTGGTCTATGTGGCTTATTCAGCTAGTTAAAAACTTTTAAAGTTTCTAGGCTTTGTAGTTGCAAAGAAGCATTCCACATGTGTGAAACAAAGCATAGAATCATGCAGCAATGTCTGCAGGCAACCTGAAGAAGCAACCTAGACACGAGAGTTCCTCTGCATCCACTTCCTTATTTAGGATGCTAGCTTTGGAGTCCAGTGATGCACCTCTAGTACTATCATTAATTATTTAAATATGGGTGCTTTTTAGCAATGGAGGGAGTAGGTGCTGGGAATGTGAAAGAAGAGGAGATGAGAATTGGGAGTTGCTCCCAGGAAGGTTAATGCAGCAGGAAGAAGAGGGGTTGAAAGATGGGGAAGGAAGAAAAAGAAAGAGGATGGGAAAAGAAGAGAAGCTAAAGAGCAGTGCTTTCAATGGGGAACAGGATCTTACTGAGTGGTGCTGACTGAACAGATCATAAAATGGTTTGATTACTACATAGGTCTGTTCTCTCAATGTCTGAGCAGACTTCTTGCAGATATGAGCCATTGCATGAGGGTGCCTGTCTGGGGAAAGTGACCAGAAGAGAGATCCTGGAACAAAACTTTCCAGAATAGTTTTCTGTGTGGACAGTGCATGCTCCACAGTTCAGGTCATTTGATTTGGAAAGAACTACTCTGCTTTGGAAAGATGTTTGTTTTTTCTGGTATTAACTGCCTTTTAACTGGGAATAATGTTTAAGTAGGAAGCTGTTCTGGAGTTGGAACAGCTTATTTTGGAATAGCTACTCCAGTCCATTTCTCTCTGTAGGCTAGCTCTTTCAGACTGATGTATTCAACACTATGAATGTCTGCCAGTAGAGGCAAGCAACAAGGATGGTGCCAACCAAGCTGTGTTGATCCTAGAGTGGACAAAGCTGGATGATTTTAAACAGGTTGTACTTTTAATACATGCTGAAGGTGTGTTTAAAGGCACACAGCATTATATATAAGTTTTAGGCTCTTTCCACGTAGTAGCTTGTACCTTCTAAATCAATACTTAGACCATGCCTTGGTGCTAACAGCCCTGAATTATGTGCCCCAGCGCACAACTCAAAGCTTCAATGGGGCTCATTCAACAAAATGTGCCTGGGGACCTTGCTTTTCTTGGTGGGCTTCAAGAAGCCAAGGGCTGGCCATTTGTTTTTTTCAGTTATTTGATGTCTAGGGTAAGTGCATCCCACATGTAAGCTTAGTAACATTGGTAGATGCAAATTCCCATTGGAAATATCTCTGACTTCTTTGTTCTTAAAAAAATTCAATACCTACTTCCTTAGCAATCTCCCTAGGCAGGGTATGGTAACCTCGGTGCCACAGTGCATGGGAGCAAATGGAACTAGCTAGCTTATTTTCATTGTCCTGGCCTGGAAAAGCAAGAAGTAAACAGTTTACACAGTGGCCTGGAAAATGGACTTCTTGGCTGCTATAAGCTAGAGGGGTGGTAACACCAGACATAAGGATTTTGTTTTGAAATACAAAAGTACAGTACCAAATTTTGCTCTACACAAACATACAAAGCTAGAGTCGCTGAGAGCAGACTTTGACCTCTGCTCTTTAATTCTCTTGAAACAGACAGGGTCTGGAGGGCCATAGTTTTTATACCATGCGTGGTAGGATATTATGGTCTAAGCAACTGTCAGCTCTAAATCGGTGTTCATGCCAGTGGAGCAACACTGATTTTACTGCTGCTGAGGATCTGGCTCTGTATGGTCTGGATCGGCAGTGGTGAGAGTGGCTGTTGACATGACTGGCTGCTTGCCCCCCTTTTAAAGGGCAGATAGAGAATGCCTGTGGCAAGCATCCCTTGGCAGGCTGCAGAGGAGGGGTTTTGCTTGGGGTGGAGGGAGAAGCTGCACTGGTAGGAAATTCCTGCAGGAGGTGTGGATGTGTTGGAGGCAGGGTGTGTCTGCTCTCAGCAGCACACAGCCCTGCTCTCATTAAATCTGTGAGGGCTGCCCAGATATCTGCAGCTCCCAGCTGTGCCCGGGAATAGAGTGAGGCCCGATAGAGCCAGGCGGGGAGTCAGATGGCTGCTTTCCCACGGCCCAGTCCCCCACACCAGAATGGCGCGTGGCTGCCACCGCCCTCCCCTTCACACAGGGAAGCTTTGACTCTGGAGCGAGGGAGGGGACCTTGCTACAGGCTTTAGAGTGGCTCTGCTGCCCCATTCCCCAGAGGGGAGGGGGAAGGGAGGGAGGAAGCAGGGGAGCGGCTGTGTGGAGCAGGCGGGGCCATTACAGCCCAACAATCCAATTACTAGACTGGATCCAATTAATTCCTAGCCATTTAGAGACGTTTGTGCAGTGCTCTCTCTCTAATCCAGTTAGATTTCTCCAGTTATGGGAGGTGTTCGGCCTCCACTAAATCCATGGCCATTCTAGGCTAATTGAGGTGAAAGGTGGGCTCCTTCTGTTGTAGTTATCTCTTCACCCGTGTCTGGGGCCTGGCTGCCTGCTCCCTGCTTGCCTCCGTACCCATAGCCCTGAGCATCCTCTGCTCCACCCCCTGTATCCCAGGTACCCACTATCCCCACCCTCTCTACCTGCACCCTGCCCTAGTTTAGTGGTTCCCTATGCATCCTGGATCTAGTCTGTTCCCATGAGAAGTCTCCACTCCTTTCCTGAGGATTGAGGCTGCTTGTTCTCTAGGGAGTGAATTTCCTACCCTCTTGGCTTGATCTCATTTCATGTTGGTCTTGTAGCAGTTTTTGACCACCTTGGGGAGACCAGGGGAGAGGGCCTGCTCCAGGCAGGAAGCCAGGAACCAACAGGCATGTTTGGCTGCAGGGGCCCAGCAGCAGGGGTGGGTGTGTGCAGCCACGGTGGGAGTGTGAATGCTGTAGGTTTGATCTAGCTTATCCAGCTCACCCAGCTGCTATCCCCCACCTGGGGCCTGTACTAAAGGGGCAGGGCTATGCAGGGACCATTCTGGCAATGGGGTCGGTTTGTGGGATGTACATCACAAAGTTAGCCATGGTGAAGAGGTCCCACTTGCTGTATTCAAGGCAGCCTGAAATTGGGGGTGGGGTGGGGACATTTGGCCCCTTCCTGCTAGGAGTCCTAACTGTAAGAACAACACCCCAGTGCTTGGTCCTTGAGTGGTGAAGCAAAGGTCTTATCTCTTTTAGAGCCAGGCATGGCATGTCACCATAGTGTGCAGGGTTGCTGCTGTTTGTTTGTCCCTCTGCTGGTGTCAACCCAGGCTGTGCTGCTGGAGGAAGATGTGCTGGCTATAGCCATGGCCATTCCTATCATAGATCTAGGAGGACTAGCAGGGATAGAAACCAAGCTATGCCAAGAGAATCCATCAGGGTAAGTGCAGAATAGTGTGGGGATGTGGGGTTCTGTGTTGGTCCACACACAGGTTGGAAAGACGTTTGGAGGCCCCGTCTGTCATCCTGCACTGCTGCTTCCAGGGCTGTGATCTCATTCCTTTCACTTTATTTTTTCTTAGAAAACTAGGGCTGGGAGGGAGCTCAAAGGGCCATTTAGTCCTCAAAGAAGGATTGTCCCTGTCTACGCCAGCCCAGGTAAGTAGCTCTGGCAGTAGGGAGCAGAACCCAGGCTGCAGCCTACCACCAGGAGCTGCCACCGAACCAGCTCTGCAGAAGCCCTTATGGACAGATGAGTTGGGCAGGGCTCAGCAGGGCAGAGGCACGGGGGGTGGGCATCTGGTTGTAGGGTGCAGGGTTGGTGGTTGCTGACTTGAGGTAGCTGATGAAAGCTGGGACTGAGTCTTTAAAAAGCAACACAGATGACCAGTAACATGGGGAGGGGAGAGGCTGTGACTATAGCTGAATCCAGAGAAAATACCTTTTTTGTTTTGCTGTTGTTGTAACCACTTAGCACCTGACCATTCCCTGCTCTGCCCGTGTCAGGACAGTTCTCTAACCCAGAAGCAGAGTCAGGGGAGGTTCAACCGTATTTCGTTCCCGAACTGAAATGCAGCATGTTAGGCTCCTGGGAGTCCTCCATGATGCCCGCTGCACCAAGGAAACTGTCATTGGCACTTCAATGGCAGAAACACTTGGCACTGGGGCAGCGAGGGCACCGAGAGCATCTGGCCCCAGCATAGCCCTCTGGCAATGGTGTATTCCACCTCGGGGGGGACAGAGCCAAGAAGTAGTGAGGGTGTGATATCTACCCACAGGCTTTATTTATGGAGACCTGGTTGAAACCTCTGCTGCGCTCAGCAGGGGGTGGGGACTATGGGGGTCTTCAGCAGGTCCCTCTCCCCTGAAAATATGGAAAGAAATGCTGCCAGTCAGCAACACTGCGTGCTGAGAGCTGTTCCCTCAGACTCTTGCCAGCTGCCACAGACTGGACTCTTCTCTTAATTGCTTGGGAAAGGCTGAACTCTCCGTACAGGAGGAACAAAGGAGTTCCCCATACATGTTGTGTGAGGGCCTGGTTCTTTTGCTGGCGATTCTGGGCTAAATTGGGGGGTTCCCTTGTGTGGTTACCCTTGATTTATACCAGTGTACAATCCCATTAGATCTTGGGCCTCCATACAAGACAGCGGTAGGAAATGGCTCTGTGCATTAATCCTTGTAGGGTTGATTTGTACAGCTCCTCTTCTCCCCCATGCCTCTCCACACCATCCTGCCTCCCACTGCCTAACCTGTTCTCGTCTTTCTGGACAAAAGCCTGGAATCTGCCCAGCCCTTCCTCCCAATTATTATGTTCCCCCTTGGAGACCCCCGAGCTTTTCAGTTCCTGGTTACCAGGCCCCTCCTACAGCCCCCTGGATGAAAGTCAGGGCTGCCCTGCCTTCGAGCCCTGAGGAAAATGCTGTCTGATGCTGCTATGTGGGATTTTCAGCTGTGTAGAGCTGGGTTCCTGGGAGTTGTGCATCAGTTTTTTCCAGCTGAAAGACCTCCAGGGGAGGGACTATCTGTAGCAACCAGGAAGAAGTGGTTTTGAGGAGAGGGTGTGTTGAGGCACAGTCAGCACTTCAGTGTTCTGGAGACAGATCCTTGATGTCTTCACCTCAGAGCCTCGCTGATGGTAGAACCAGCCCCTTTCTGCCGACAGTCCCACCACTTCCCCTGGAAGGATGATGCATGTCTTCTGCTGGCTACTGCAGCCCCCTTCAGCAGTGGATGCCTTCCCAGGGTGCACTTTGTGCACCGGTGACTAAAGCCATGTGGAGCTGCCAGAAGTACATGGGCACATGTGCCTTGATGGTGGCTGCTCTCTGTTACAAGAATTGCTGCTGGCAGAAGTAGAAGAGTGTCAACAAGGCCTTGAATCCTCCCTTCCCTGGGAAAGAGTTTCTGGGAAGGGCAGGAGAGTCTGATTGTGGGAACGGCTGTGGTCTGGATGAAAATAAGAATGGCTTTGCCTCCGGAGTATGAACACAGGCAGGAGGGGAAGGGGCATTGCTGCTCCTATGGGAGGAAGCTAACAACCCTTCCTGACGCTGGTTCTGTGGTCATGGGATGCTGTATGCCACAGTGTGATACAGCTGTGAAGGCCTGAAGGGTGGCCTTCAGGCCTCTTCCACAAGGCCTGGTTTAACAGGGCAAGAGCAGTGCAGTATCTACTCTGAAGCCTGGAAATGAGAGGAATTTGGGGGAAATGCGAGGAATTTGGGGTTTATCCACGGGGCAAAATTTTCCTGGTATCACAGTTCTACTGAGGAACATGCCAGTCAGAGCTGAGTGAGATGCTCTAATATCAGAGAGCCTTTACTTCAGTAGCAAAAAGGGCTATTATCCAGTTTAGTTTGTTGTTTCCATAGTGACATGTTAAATCGGGAAAAGGCACTCTGATACCAGGGTACAAATGCCCCTCTGGGGAGTCATACTGGTTTAAGTGTGCCAGGACTGTTCAGTGGGCATAAATCCCCCATCTGAGCAAATCTTTGTGTTAAAAGGTTGTTACTTTAGTTGTCC